TTTACGTGGTCGTCGTTTTTCATTAAGGGATAAAATTGACGGAGCTGTAACAAGCATCTATTTTACATCGACTTTAGATAATAAATGACTTCAAGATCTTCGTCTAAGAAAAGACATCTGCAATGTTCTGACTACGCGAAGAATTGCTCAAGATTGATGTCTGCACCTTGCACATCCGATAGGATATAATTTATTATGAAAATTACACCAACGCGAAAATTCATAGACGGTTTTTCCAGTGTGTACATACAGGGCGTTCGTTCTTATGCCTTATGACCTTATATTAACCCTGTTTGGTTAGTACAGTATTTTCTACATAGAACGGCCTCGACCTTTACTTGATGAAAATTCGTAATCAAAAAAAAAAATATTTACATTTTCATAACGAATGTTTCGTTCGTTAATCCTTGACTTTAATCGACTCAATTTTTTGGGAAAATTTATTTGTTGTTTTTCTCTTTCTACATACACGGGGGTGATTCAATAAGGAAAGAGACATAATCATCCCTAACGTTTATGTACTTATCTCACATTTCTTGTAGTTTCCTAATTTTCTTGCAAAGGATTCTTTTGATTGATTTCGAAGTCATTTTTGTATCCCTTCTTGACTTCTTTGTTATTAGTAAATCATTCTCCACGTAAGGCATCTTTGAGTAGTCCAACAAGGTAAAAATCAATCAGGACGATCTGGATTATACGCTGGATGAGGTAAGATCTCTTAACCCAATTCTTGAAGCTTATCAAGGCTCAACTGGACCATACAAGAGTGGGTCCATAGCGTGTACTCCTGATGGCTGTTTAAGTCTATGTTTCAGAATCTCACAGTAGTACCATGAGTCCCAAAAGAAAGTCAGCATCTCCACCTTTGGTTTTTAGGGAACGGGAGAGTTGGTGTGTTTCCACTATACATATATTTACCCTATCTTTTGGTTTCAAAATTGTATTAGTTATGTCGTCGCCAGTCATTATTCTTTAAAATCCTTCAATCAAATTTTGTTGCTTTAAGCTGTAAGATGGTTCTCAATGGTAGGTACTGGGAACAGTTACACTTGGTTTTATCCATTCTGCAACTAAAAAGCTAAAGACAGACAGAGTCCTGCTTTTCTATGTTTTCCAGCTAATATCCCAGAAAAGATGGCACATATTCACTGAATAGTTTTAAAATAGGAACATTTGTTCCTTATTTATTGAATGACCCTCGTACAAGAGAATTTAATGAGATGTTGCCTTTACTTTTTGTATTAGAGTACCTGTAATACATTTAGTATTCGACGGGAGCACAGCTTTCAGTATGCCATCAGGCTTCATAGATTACTAGACATAAAAATTTAAAATCTATTTCACTGGGACGTGACATTCATTCTCATTTTCCTTCTTTTTGTTCTGGAATAAATACGAATTGAAATTCTAAACTAGTTTTCGGTTTCTTTATACGAACGCATCAGCCAGGGCTGTTACGAAAAACAGAAAGTTGTGATGAGAAGGAGTTATTCAGCAAATTACATAGAAGGATTTGTTTTGAGTTCATAATGGAAAAGTATGTGAAAATTTTTAGAACTGTTTTCCAACATAATAAAATATTAACGATTAGCAATACAGAAATCCAAGTAGGGAAAGAGCAAGATTTTAGGTATCCAGGAAGTCGGATAAGTCAGGACGGAAGGGTTAGTAGGGATATAAAGCAGAGGATAGCGAAGAGTCGAGTTGCCTTCAATAAAAAGAATTCATTTCTATGCTCGCGAACGATTAATTTAGAAATTCAAAAAAGGTTGTTAAAGGTGTATGCTTGGAGCGCGCCGCTGTTCGGGTGCGAAATATGGACAGTGGGCGCTGCGGAAAAGAAAAGTTTAGAAGCTTTCAAAATATGGTGTTACCGGCGAATGATGAGGATAGCGTGGATAGAGAAGGTTAGAAATGAAGAGGTATTAGAAAGAATAGGAGAACAGAGGACTCAACGGAAGAAATAGGCGAGATAGATCGGTAGAACAACTTCTCAGGCATGAAGATCTAGTCAGAGACATATTAGAGGTAGAAACAGTAATTAAAAGGTGTAGAAGTAGATCTATATTAGATTACTGTTCGCAAATAGTTAAGGATGTGGGATGTTCTAGTTTTAGGGAAATGCGAAGATTAGCTCAGGATAGGAAAGAGTGGAGGTACGTGTCCAACCAGTCTTAGGACTGATGACCTTATGATGATGATGAATACAGAAATATTGATATATCTACATAATTATTTCAAAAAGAATTAAATTCTTCATAGTTAATTTATCAATTAGTTGGATTTTTTCTGCTGTTACTTATCTAAATGAGGGTTCAGTTCTCAGCGTTGGTGGAAGAATAAAAGAGTGTAAAGACTGAATCCTGGCGTAGAAAAGAAAGTGACTAAGTGATTGTTTCCTTTTAATTGAAATTATAGCAGACGGCGCTTAAAAATTTCAGAATTTCGACATAATTAATGGCTTATCCACTTTCTACGGAATTTTATTTTATTCGCCAAAACCGGCAACGAGAAATCAACGATTTTCTTTATTCATTTATAAATTACTTTCCGACCCGAATCGTTAACATACCCTGTTTTACGGCACGGTAGAACCTGTCACGGAAAAAATAATTAAACGAATGCCAGAAAAAAGTATGTAAGTACGACTAAAAAGGAAATGAAGTTTTTGTCTTGCAGAACAAAGAGCGATAAGGAGGGTTGGTGGAAATAAAAAATTAAAACTGCTTAAATACCTACTGAGAATTTAGGAACTGAACAAAGGTTGTGTGTCTTCATCAAGTAATATGTAAATTTAGTTGTCAGATGAAAGAAAGTTATAAGAAAAGTGTCAAAATTCTTTTTGGGCAGAGGACCATTTGGAATATTATTAAGTTGGAAGCTAATATTTAGTAGGTAATAGATCTATTAATATCAACGTTAAACCTCAATATTGTGCCTCCAATTAGCAGCTAATCGCATTAATGTGATGCAAAGTAGATCGCTCCCATTGTCCATCACATTGTGCTGATAAACCAAGTAGGCACACACTCACATATGGGCATTAATTCCTCCACTTCGCATTAATGATGTCAGTTTAGTATAAATTTTATTAGTAGTAGTATCAAAAATTAATACATACGTTATGTACAATAATATGCCCGCGTGTAATAAATAATACATATTAATAATAAAGAAAATAACCTTATCGAAATATCTATTAATAAAAAATAACTTAAAGAACAATGAAAACTCGTTTTTGTGATATATTTAATCGCCAAATGGGGAAATCACTCTCATTTTTTGAATGTTTATTAATTAATTTGAAGATAAGGAACATATAATGCCCTAAATGTGTGTTAAAGATTATTGAAAATAGAATAGTTTTATCAAGTCCAGACTAGGACCATCAGGATAAAAGTAAAGTTTCTAATTTTCTTTAAGTTAAGCAAACACTTTGCGTAGAACGACTGTAAATAGTGCATGTCCCTCTTTAACAAGATGAAAAGAAACCTTTTTCTGTCCCTCAGGAACAGTTTTCTTTTCTGGATAAAAGGTACCCTATGTCCTTTTCTGTATCCCTGACAATGCGTCTACCAAATTTGATGATGATCGGTTCGATAGTTAAAGCGTGAAATGGTAATAAACAAACTCGCATTCACATTTATAATAAACAGAGAAAACCAAAATTTTTATGATAACGCAAAGATTACAATTTTTGATTGCAAATGACTGAATTTGCTGTAGAAATCGTAGAATTTATTAAGTANTGAAAAATTACTTGAAGAACCTAGCTAGATTATTTTGACCTGTTTGATTTGTGAATTTTTACTGAAGTCGTGGTTAGGGGAAAGGAGTGTAATAGGGTATGTGGGAGTCTTTGTCATGGTAGGATTTTATTTTTACAAATTCAGCTCCAAATTGTAATTTTTATTAAATATCGCTCAAATATTTAAGTAAATTTTCCTTTTTAATTTTTTCCGTGTATTAATGGGGAAAATATTAGTTAAGATATATATTGTGAACCCCATTTCTACATAGCGAAGCTGCACTGACCTTGACGTAGAAAAATAGTTAATATTGTTAAGTAAACTGATTAACTTCCATGTATTGGGGCTTGGTTTTTTGCATTTTCACTCACCTGAAACAAAATGAAAAACCCATAGGTAATTCCCGGTAATATAGAGGTAAAAATAGACGAAATTAGAAGTAGGTAATTCTTTTGTGGATTTACAATTAATTAAGAATCTTGTTGTTAATAAATAATTGGTTTTAGGTATTGGATATTTCGTAAATACGTGGCTAATTAAATGAAACAGGTGTGGAAAAGCCAAAATATTTATATCCTATATATAACTAGGAGATCCGACATCCTTAACTATTTATGATTAGTAATCTAATCTACCTGTACCTCTACTCTTCTGTTTCTGCTTCTAATATGTCTTTAACTAGCCCTTCGTATTTGGTAAGGTGTCATACCAAAAATATAATTAAATTAGAATTCATAAAAATGAAATTTTTCAACGTTTTCTTCATTGTAATGAATGCCATTCATCATTGACCTTCAACAGTCGATAATGACTTGCTTACCACAGTAATTTTCATCAGGTTGACAAGCATCACAATGGTTATTTTGGATATTGTCACAAAGAACCTGACTTGATTCAATTTACTTTTCTTTTAAACAATTGTACTCTTCGTTGGTATCATTGTTTGTTACAGATAAAGTTTTAAAGGGCACTTTAAAATAAAACTAGAAAATATCGTAGTTCGAACAGTAGAAATCATATTATACAGGTTGGAAGTTTTATGAGGTTTCTGACCTTGCAAGAAATGTTGATTTTTGCGATTTTGTCGCAAATCCAGTCGCGAAGAATCATCTGCATGAATATCTAATTAGACGGTGGTAAGTTTTAGATATGCAAATGTATAAAGTTTAACGGTTTTACAATCTGTAGGCAGAGAAGATAATGAAAAAAGTAGTGTGTAAATCCTGGAAATACCAATACAAAGACAACTGCTTTCAACAACATAACATGTTTATCAATGATGTCGACGTAACAGAATCGGCGACTATAAAAGCATCTGTTCTTGCATCCCAGTTATCATTCGCTAACGCTTGGCAAAACTCGAACAGTTCTTCCAATTGCCAATTTGGTAAGTGATTTTATTGTTCATATTAGTTTTCTTGATATTTATTATTATTTTATTAAGTCTTTTGGTATCTGTTTTTGTTTTATGATTTATTGATTCAATTTTGATCAAATCAAATATCAAAAAAGTCTGAAGAAGCCACAGTGTTTGTTGTTCATCAATAAATAAGTTTAAAGTTGAGCATATTACTGATCCATACGTATTATGTGCTTTTTGTTAATGAATCGATTGTAAAATTTTATTTTTGTGTAGCAGATTTTATAAAAATGAAATTCTTCAACGTCTTCTTCATCGTAATTATTGCCATCCTTGGCCTTCAACAGTCAGTAATGGCTTGCATAAGAGACCGTGATGGTTGTCAGCCTGATGGTCGTCAAGGAAACTGTTGTTCTGGATATTGCCATAAACAACCTGGATGGGTCGCCGGCTATTGCAAAAGGCGATAAGATAATTCTATCTTCTGACACATTTTCGATGATTTTTGTACTGTAGTTTTAATTTATGCAAAGAGTTTGTAAAATTATAATTTTAAAAATAAATATAATGTTAATTTTCAAATTTGTCTTGTTATTAATTATTACAACTTTAAATTAGTCCTTAAAAAGGAGTGCATTGACTACCACCATTCGACCATTTCAAATAACGGTTTATTTATTGTGTTTATTAGTTTCTAACTTTTTAAATAAATTTAATGTGTGTAATGTCCCATTTGCCGTCTGCTGCTATGGTATATAACATCTGTCTTGAGTAGTAAAAACTATTCCTTTTTAATATCCCAAATAGTTCATAAAATTCAGACTTTTATGTGAGCATTAAAAGTACTCACAACTGTGTATAATTGAGCAAAATTTCAAATAAAAATAACGTTGATGCACTATTTACAATAACAACAGATAGATAAGTGAATGATGGAATCACCAGTGAATTTACTGTGAAGAATTTTTATAACCTACATAAAAGTTGGCATAACATACCAATTAAATGAAACAGAATTAAGTATTTCTTTTATTCGATTACACAGATAGGTAAACTATTTCGTATTTTCAACCAAATCCAAAACAAGAGATCCTTAATTCGACAGTATCTATTTGTGTGTATGTTATGCGATTCCTTAAACAATTGCGAATCGATTTTAATGATACCATTTTTATTTGATGCGGTGGTACTGTCTAAATTTCAATAAAATATTATATCTGTAAGTGTAGGTAATTGGGAAATAATGAAAAATTACTTGAAGAACCTAGCTAGATTATTTTGACCTGTTTGATTTGTGAATTTTTACTGAAGTCGTGGTTAGGGGAAAGGAGTGTAATAGGGTATGTGGGAGTCTTTGTCATGGTAGACTTCCCGTTAAATACTACCCACACCAACGTTCCATACCACATGAAGCCCTGCTCAACAGGTCATTTAAATAAAAGTCAATGAAATTTTAATTCTTGGTTGACAGATTTTCAACGAGAGGGTTGAAGAACGAACAAAATAGCTCAATTCCCAACGCCAAAACACGACACTGTATTTATTCCAACTACAGAATTTGGTTTGTTCTACAACAACCGCCAAAGTTTTTCCAATCTTCATATTTGAGAGGGTTGAGTTGAAATTATTGATATGACCCTATAATGTTCATAAACACTAAAAGTCTGCAAGGTGTCAAAATCATCCCAATAAGTAATGGTTAATTAAAACAAGATTGACAACACTATCTGCACAGTTAGATAAAAATCAGAATTTCCACATTTCATAAATCAAATCAATTCATTGATAAATCTATGCAAATTCGTGCATCGGGAACTCCAATTTCCCAGTTTTTGTTTACATATCTTCTTAATTACCTCACAGAAGTTATCAGTAGCTGTGGAATTAATTAAATAAGGCGATATTTGTGTCAACGTGCACCTAATAATGATTTCTAAATAAGATATTATTGCGCTGTGTTAACCCAGATGAGATAAAAAAGAATAATTATCGCCGGTAGATAACTATATGCAGCGTGCAAATGCATAATGTTGAAGATAGGAATTTCCGTCCCCATGAGTTGAATTGCTTTCTACAAGAAAATCCAGGCAATGCATGATAATCAGCAGCTGCTACGACTGCAAATACGGTCGGGTAATTCCAAGATGCGTATTGAATATCTAATCATTTTGTTTGCATTTTTATTCCCGAACTAGTCTATAATAGCAAAAAAATACTATATCATCTATAAACAATAACAAGGAAACCGCAACAACATACAAAGCAGATCTATTCGTGCTTCTTCGTACACTAATGACCTAATGCATTATATAACAATAAAATACTGATTAAACAACACAATAGTAGTAATAAGGGATATATAATATATTAAGGTTTCTACAGAAGATAACACCATTTTGGAAGATGTTACACTTTCAGCGACCCTCTAACAAATATTACGTAACAAAAATTAGCTTACCCCTCTACAAATGTAGGGATGACTTACAAAGATAGAAGAGTGATACTTAGTTTGTATAAAGAGCAACAGGCAGTTATAGAGCTGGGGCTGCAATGTAGAGAAGTAAATATTAGGAAGGGAGTCAGACAGTGATGCACACTGTCACCGCTACTTTTTAATCTATACATCGAAGACGCGATGAACATCATTAAAGACAGTACAACTGTAGGGATAGATGTGCAATGGCAAAAGATTAGTATGCTTAGATTTGTAGATGATATAGCAGTATTAGGGTTAGAAATGAAGAGGTATTAGAAAGAATAGGAGAACAGAGGACTCTATGGAAGTCAATAAGAAATAGGCGACATAGGTTGGTAGGACACCTTCTCAGGCATGAAGGTCTAGTCAAAGACATATTAGAGGCAGAAACAGGAGTTAGGAGGGGTAGAGGTAGACCTAGATTAGATTACTNATATATGTGCCACTCATTTTAATAATATCTATCACCTTCAGCTTCTATAATATGCAAAAAGAGATGGATGAAGGATTGATCGATGGATTTTTGTTGCGTGGAAAAGCTTGAACTGGTAGAACCGAGCACGCACACTAAATTGTACACCATCGTTTTAGTGCGATAGCAATATGCGATATCACACCATTTTTAAATGAAAAATACATAGTTACTAAGCAGTTGTTTAGGCTTTCCCGGCTGAAGAAACTGCATGGATATCCGTATTCTAACCGGATGAAATCCTCATTAAGGATCATGGAATTTCACGTTGTCGATGCAGGACCTTCGACGCTGGTCAATTCACACCCTAACAATAATTTGCTAACGATTAAGTACATTTTTAAGAAAGAAGTATTTAGGTACTAAATGTATCAAAAACGTACAAAAAATACAAAAATATATAACCATCCTAACCAATATTATAAATGAGAGGGTGACTTTGTTTGTTTGCTACCGTTTCATGCTTTAATTACTCAACCGATCGTTATGAAATTTTGTATACACATTTTTAGGGGTACAGAAAAGGACATAGAGGTATCTGTTATCCCGGAAAAAAATACTTTTCCGATGAATATAAAAATTAGTTTTATGTGGCCGTCGACGATTTTTGACAAATATCTAGGATATCAACGCGAGGGAAGCCGCGGGGAAAACTTATCATAAAATTTTGTTTTGTCATTGGTCCCTTTCATCCAGAAAACAAATACTGTTCCTGAGGGACAGAAAATTAGTTTGTTGATGATCAAATTTTCATCAATGCGAGCGAAGCAACGGTTAAATCCTATTAAAAAATTTTGTGCACACATTTTCATGGGTAGGTACACGAAAGGATAGGATACCTTCCATCCAGAAAACAAATACTGTTCCAGAGGGATAGGAAAATTAGTTTTATGCAGTCGTCGATTATCTTTGACACGCATATCAACGCGATCGAAGCTGTGGGAAAAACCTAGTTTACAATAAACGGTACAGGATTATCTATCAATTTTATTGTTTATTTGTTGCAGAAAAAGTAAAATGAAATTCTTCAACATCTTTATCGTTGTTATTTTTGCCATCCTTGGCCTTCAACAATCAGCAATGGCTTGTATAAAGAACCGCGATGGTTGTCAACCCGATGGTCGTCAAGGAAATTGTTGTTCTGGATATTGTCATAAACAACCTGGATGGGTTGCTGGGTATTGCAAAAATCGTTAAATAGATTTTGCATATTACAAATACAAACATCAGAAGTAATACTGCAATCAATATATTTTATAATGTACTATTTGGTTTTGAAATTGCTTGAAGTACTATATTGCAATAAATAAATGTTTTTTGTTTATTAGAAATGTTTTTGTTAATTTTATTTCAGCTGAGATATAAAGATATGATATACAGTAGGTAATATATTAGTACCACAGTAATGAAAATGCTAAAAAAAGGTTTCCACAAATAGAAAAAATAATCGATAACGTCTACAGTTATATTATATTAGATTTCCTCAAGTCTTGTTGGAGATAAACATAACTTCACCCTTAATATTAGATAGTAAAAACATAATTTCCTTTTTTGTGCTGTCAGACTCGGTAGATACCTCAGATAAATTTCGATTTTCTTTTAGCTTGTATTGCCTACACAGTTAAAAATAGTGTTATATTTGCTACACCACAGGAATAATAAATTTAGTTTTGCAAGTGAATAAAAGGAAAAGTAATAATATTATATTGATTATTACTTATTTTATTTTATTATTATTTGTTGGCAAAGTTTTGGAAAGTTTTGTAAAGTTTAAGCTTCGGGTTACAATCGGTCTTGCTGGTAGCAGCTCCGTAGCGAAATTCGAATTCTGAGTAATGAGATTAGGTCTTGCTATTCAACAAACAAATACAAAAAACAAAAGGTCCACAAAAATACCTCCAAAAATCTAAAGCCTCTAAAAAACTTCTCTTCCACTTTGACCTTGAATTTGGGGAAAAAGTCCTATTCCTCGTGAACAAAAAAATTTCACCAACGGCATCAAGTCAATTTTTTTATATGGAAGTTTTGCACCTTCTTTTTGTCAAGATAACAATTATGAATACAATAAACAATTCATACCAACATTTATTATTTTTTTTCGATTTTATTGAGTATTTTCCTGCTAAATATTAAAAGAAAATAAATTATCATTATTTAAAGTGCTTGGTTCTCGATTATATATTCCGATATAAGAAGAAAATTGATAAGGAATACATAAAATGCTTATATAGACGTATTACCTCCCTGATGGATAATCAATAACATGTACGGAATGGGAAATATCTGGTGTTAGTATAGGAGAGTGACTTTTTTCAAAATTGGAAATACAACGGTAACTTGATGACAGCTAGAAATCGCTTTTAACGTTTGAATAATGAATTATGTCATTTATGTATACCGGAAACTAGTAGCGATCGATTTGTTTTAATCCTTTCAATTCAGCAGCCTCGCATTAGTTAAAAAAGTATTTTTCTATTAAATAGAACACGTTGTATGTTACAAATTTGCGAAATTGTTCGTAAATATTTTATTTGCCCATAGCAGAAGTTGGAGACGTATGGAGTTAAATAACATTATATTTTCGCTAAATTGAGTTGTACCTCCAGAAATATTCACCACAGCAAATATAGACAT